TACTGAATCGACGATCCTTGTGATTGCTCAACTTTCCACGACAACCCTCCAAGTTCCAACTTCTAACCCTAACGTATGCAATAACTCATGAGCTTTAACTCTCTCTCTCTCTCTCTCTCTCTCTCTCTCTCTCTCTCTCTCTCTCTCTCTCTCTCTCTCTCTCTCTCTCTCTCTCTAAACCCCTTTTCCAAAGACTTCCATAAGAAACGAAAACAACAGGCACTGTTTCAACAAGCAGATAATGTCACAACGTACTGAGTGTTCAAGACCGGAACGATCCATGATGGTATGTGTTCTCTCAATCGCTCCAAGCGTTCGTTCAACTCCAGTTCCAACACTGCTGCCTCTACATGCACTGGATCAGACCCAGATAACTGCAGAGAAACACACGCACAGGAAAGAAAAGAGTGAGAGAGAGAGAATGCATGTGTGTGTATGTGTGTTTTAAATTGTCACTCCAACAGCCCCTATTCCATCCAGATGAGCAGATCCAAAATCAAAGCATATTCGTACCATGCCTCTCAGGCACAAGGCTCGCCACGCTGATTGTGGTTGAGTGCGAGCTTCCCATAATCCCGTCTGACACAACGGTCCCCTTGCACACTGAAAGGAGCCAGAGCAAAGGCGGAGGTATATTCCTTTTCATTTCTTCTTCTTCTTCTTCTTCTTCTTCTTCTTCTTCTTCTTTTTTACAATAAACAGAGCCTTCTGGTCCTGCCTCCATATCCATTTTGGGCAGCATCACTCCGGTTCCTTTTTCCCCGGCAAGTCATAAAATAAAATGATTGATATACGCATGCTTCCTTCCATCTGCCTGAGGGCCCCTGACCAGCATTGATTGCTCCAGAGTCCAAACACTTGGAGGATTGTCTGTCAGCTTGCCATTCAGCTTGGAGCCCTCCCCTCAGCTACTGTTTAGTATTAACCCCCTTGCTGCCATGTGTAACCTGTGAAAACCGGATATGTCAACGACGGCTGCCAAAAAAAAAGACCTCCATTCAGTACACCCTCCTGTACTCTTGCCGCCAATCTGTTCCATGTGGATCAGCTGCTGCTGCCTGTCCGGCGTCACCCTTGAGTGCTCTTTTAAGCCCAGATTGGAGTTGGTGCCTCGTTTACCCGGGTGTTCCGCTGAAACAAGAGACTCGTCAGAACTGTGACAATCTTTCCATATTAAAAATAGCCCATTTAGCCACGCCACTTTGCCTCCCGCAAACCAATCCTTCTTTTCAATCTACCAACTATCACCTGTTCTGTATCTGGACTGTTCTGCACCCACAGTTTGACTTTCTCCACTGACAAGAGGATCTCCGCTTCATACATCACTTTGGTTGATGCCCAAACCTTCTCCTGTGAGTTCTTTGTTCCTCCTTCCGCACTTACGCCTGCACCTCTCTTTCCATATGACTCCAGAGCCATGCCCTTGCATACCATCCCCACCCAGATTTTCTCTGGTTTGCCAAACTTATAGGGTAGATTAGTCCAGATGCAATGACTGGGTGATTTCTACTGCCGAGATTGACTGCGAGGCAGTACACTAACCGGTAGGGTTAGATTCATAATTTTTGTTTGGCTGAGGGCTAACCGAGAGACCTGCCTGTAAGGAAATTCGAGGGACATATCTGCAAATCTGGGAAAATATAGGCCCAGTACTAACCCGAATTCCTACAGCTACCCTAACTGCCTATAGCAGGCCCGGGCTACCC